AACAAAAACTAGAGGATGGGGAAAGTATTCAATGATGAAACTTTCAAAACGCCCATGTGAGGTGACCTGATTTAGGCCTCTGCTGCTTCCCACTGCAGGACAAGCTATTGTCCTCTTCTTTTCCTTAGGGAAACATGACAGCCTTGTTCTTCATCCTTGATGGCCACAGATGTAAGGGTGAAGAAGCACTTGCAAAAGACTTTTCTCTGGCCACCTCTGACTCATAAACTAAATCAAAATGCTATTTCTCACCTCCAGTTTCTACAGCTGCTAAATTAAGTGATCGTTTTTCAGGGAGAAAACTAACTGTGGAAAAGCAACAGGATCTGTTCAAGGTCATTTCTGCAGTAGGAGAGTCAGCATGCAGTCCCTGTTCCTGGTGTCTGATAGCCACCTCCTTGCCATCTGAAGGCAGGGAATCATTCTGCTATAGTACATTGCTTGGAAAAATAAAAACTTCTATCAAATGATAGCAAGATTCTTAGCCTTGGGCCTCTTGATTCATGTTCCACATGCAAGAGTGTGAGCCTTGAATATGGCCAGTGATGTTTTCCCAGCAATCTAGGCACTCCTCTAACATGAAAACTACCAAAGAGACAAGGGATTAGCAAGCGATTCAGCAATGTCTGCAATAGCATGTAACTTCCCACATGCTTTAAAATTTATTCCACCTCCTTTCTGTTTTAAAAACTATAATTTTTGACACATACTAGTTGTACAGAGTAAGGAGATTCATTGTATTTTCATATGCATTTTCATATCCACCCCTCTCCTACCTTCTCCCTCTCCCCTAACCCTCCTCCCAGGTTGTGTAGTCCCTCTTCTACTTTTTTTAAGTTTCCACGTATGAGACAAAACATGCAATATTTTTCTGTATGTGAATTATTTTGTTTAACATATATTCTCCATTTCCATGCATTTTCTGCATATAACCAGATTTTATTCTTCTTTATGGTTGAGTAGGATGTGTTTGTGCATGTGTGCACATGTGCATGCCATGTTTGCTTTGCCCATTGACCAGATGACAGATATGTAGACTGATTGCTTGCCTTGGTTATTGTTAATAGTGCCTCTCTTGCTCCTTTCTTGCTCATTAGCCATTGCTGTATAACAAAGCATTCCCAAACTCAGTGCCTTATTGCAAAATTTTATAATTATTACTCAATTTTTTGGTTGTCTATGCTCAGTTGGGTAGTTCTTGATTACAGTAGACTGTCATGAAACTTCAGTCAGCTTGCAGCTAAAACTGCAGTTCCCTGGTGAGTCATTTGGGCTGGACATCCACCACAGTACATTCCCATGGCCTAAACTCCAGGAATAAAAAAGGGAGGGCTGGAATGTATCTTGAGGTAGAGGACTTGCCTAGCAGGAAGGAGGTCCTGAGTTACATGCCCAGCATAAGATTGTATAACGGCTTACAATTGATTTCTAAGACCATAGGGTAAATGAAAACTGGATAAAGGAGCATTATTTGCTATAATAAAGCAAAAGAAATGACAAGCTTAGTGCCAGCAGAAAGGAAAACTGATGAGACCTCATTTCCCTGCAGAACCTTGGAAGTAGTGAAATTCTGTGTGATACAAATCTAAAATTGTGAGCTATTCCTTACTTTCTTTCTGTCAACAAAACCACACTATTCTTGTGTCAGGCATTGAGTTGGGTACTGAGAAACAGTAATTACAAGTTGCCTTAGTTACTTTTCACAGGCTGTTGAGACAAAATATACTGATTCCCAACATGAAAGAAGGAAAGGTTTATTTCTTACTTGTTGGAGGCTTCAGTCCATACTCAGTTGGCTCCAAGGTTAAATGACATGGCTGAGGGGCAGTAGTTTCTGGTGGCTACAAACATCAGGCATGAACAGCAAAAGAGAAACACAAGCCTTCTTTCCTCAGGTACACTGTATGCTGGCTCCACCCTTGGCAGATGTAGTACTCATACCATCAATCTGAGTGCTAGAAAACAACCAATAAGTAAACATAGATATGGTCACATCCATGATGGCATGAGGCTTGAGGGGTACTGAGGTTAACCATGACAAAGATCTTGCTGTCATACTCTCATCATGAAGCCTACAGTATATTGAGGTGGAGGGATATTTATCCAATCACTACCCAAATGTCGGCTGAGCATTCCTAATCTGAATCTTGAAGTCTGAAATTCTTCAAAGTATAGAACTTTTGAGTACTGATACAGTGCCAAAAGTGAAAAATTCCAGAACAAGAAATTTTGTTTCAAACACAAAATATTTTTTCACTAAGATTATTGGTATATTCTAGGTGTAAATAATGATCGTGTAAGCCATGGGAAATTTGTACCATACATTAAAATCTTGAATGTTTTATTCTCCATTCCCCCAACTTTGCTTCAACACCCTTCCCTTCCTTGTTTATGAAAGCTCTGTTTGCTTCTTTTCTCATAATTTGTTTCTTTTCTCTTCCTTCTTTTCTCCCTCCTACATCCCTAATTCCTCATTTCATTAGAAAATGTTCACAATATCTATATTATTTTAGTGCTTATCTACATTTTCACTTTCCCACACCAGAGAAACAACACAATACACATGTCAAGCACAAAATTATTAAAAATGTTGTATAAAATGATCTTCAGGTTATGAGTATGAAGTATATGTGAACCATAAATAAATTTCATATTTAAACTTGTGTGCCATCCTCAGTATAACTTATTATATATATGCAGATTTTCCAACAAATAAAAAATATAGAAATTCCAAACACTTCTGGTCACAGTCATGTTGTATAAGGGACACTGAATTTGTAGATGTTTAATTAAATCCTCAAGGAAGAAGTACAAGAGGTGATCAAAATATACAGCTAATACTTGAATTTTTTAGATGTACTACAATAGTGATATGTGGCAATTAATCCTTCTTAAAAAGCACCTATTTAGACAAATAAATTAAATAAAATACACATCCTCACTTCAAAAACACTTCTCGATTTGTTCTTGTGAATAAAATACACATCCTCACTTCAAAAACACTTCTCCATTTGTTCTTGCAATTTCTGAAGCAGTTTGGAAGTCCTCTTATGTGAGTGTCTTTAGATATTGGAATAAACATTATAGTTAGTGCTGCTGTCGAGTGCCATCCAATGGAAAGGAAGGCTCATAAATACATTATTGTGTGTCCTCATCCACCTGATTCACCAGATCTGGACCCCTGTGACTCTTCTGAAAATCAAAATGACCATGAAAGATGAATATTTTGAATTGATTCAATACATTGAGGCAGCCACAACAGCACAACTAAAGATACTCATAAGAGGACTTCCAGAACTGTTTCAAAGAAAATGGCAAAATGATGGAATAAATGCATTCAAATGAAGGAGAAATTTGGTGTAGGGGTGCATACCTGTAACCTCAGCACTTGGGAGGCTGAAGCAATAAAATCTTTGAGTTTGAGACTAGCTTGGGCAACACAGTGAGTTCAAGGCCAGCATGAACTCCATAGCAAAAGCCTGTCTCACAAAACCAAAAACCAACAAACAAAGAACACCTAGCTGATCATTTCAGCACAATTTTGTGTTTGTGTGTAGATTACTGACTCACTGAAGATGGAAGACCTTCCCCGTGTGTGGTGGGCAACCAATAGTCCTGCATCCTGGATGCAGTAAAAAGGGAAAGGAGAAAGTCTGGCTTCTGCCCCTTCAGAAGAGTTCGAATCCTTGCCATTAACTTAGGTGTCCATTTCCAGGCACCTAGCACAGATTCTTGGCTCCCTGCCAGAGACTCTCCAGGACTTTGCAGTGAGCTCCAGGCCTCAGACTTGTGATTGGAGTTTTTGCATCTCCAAGGAGCACCTGACCCTTTTGCGCTGTTCTCCACCTGACTCTGCAGATGGCCATCCTAAGCCTAATTTGCAAATCCTTTCTATCACACACACACACACACAGACACACACACACACACACACACACACACACACACACACAGAAATTGAATCTGATCCTATAGTGAACCCTGACAAACACTGCCTCTACCTAGCTGTGCAACCTCCCATGAACAGTTTATGTCCCACTCATGTGAAAAATCCAAAGCAGAACTGCAGTGGTGCTGTGTTAACAGAGATGTTGTTGTAAGGCCCGCTGGGTTAAAACTCTGTCTACTGCTTTGTCATTGGAAAAGGTATTTATTTTTGGTGTCTAAGCTCACACAGCAGTGAAAATGAAGATAATTCCTATCTCACACTCTTGTAAGAATTAACATATGTAAAGCGCCTCAAAGAGGCCCTGGCCTGACACCGATAAGTGTGAACGAAGCTTGTTAGTACGTTTTATTAACATGTAAACATACTTTTAAGATATGAAAACATCAGACAATGGATTCCAGAAGGACTCATTTCTCTGTAATAAAAGAAGGGCAACAACGCAAATAACAATGGCATCTGAGCTCTTGCTATATGCTAGGAGTCATGGGAAGAGCTCTGCAGGGTTTTCATTGGATCTTCACAGCAGTGCCAAGAGAGGATTATTGCCATTCATCATGTTTTTTTTTTTTGAATGGAAAAAAATCCACAATATTTCAAAACAAAGTAATAGGAGAATGACAGTAGTGGAAATTGAGGCTCCAAGAAGAGAAGCAGTGGGCCCAAGGTTTCAGAGCTACAAGATTTGAGTCCAGACACCAATAAATTCCATGTCTGGGACACAGTCCACTCCTCTGCTTCCTGTCATAGTGGGCCTGGGGCTCGAGTCTCCCAGAAGCCTCATCAGAGACCTTCACCGGCAGCCACACCCTGCTTCAGTGGGACCCTAACCCCCACTGCCACGCCCACTGCCTCATTCTTGCCCCACTGGCAGGCTTGGAGCCTGCTTTGTCGCAACTTCTAGCCCTGCCCCTTACCCTTCCCTCACACCCTTCGCCCCACCCCCTTCCAGGACCAAAGGTTCTGCTGCCCCGCCCCACACCCGGCGGGCCACGCCCACGGACAGCCTGAGCCAAGAGGCTCCACATCGCAGCTCAGACCTGCCCACGCCCCGCCTCGCCCTCGCAGTGCATGCCGGTCTTCTGCTTGGAGTCGCCATTTTGCCGCTAGAGATGCTGTCTGAAGACCAGTGCTCTCTTCCTTCAGCGGCCTAGGCTGCGTCGGGGCCTGAGCTGGGGTCTGGGCCAGGTAGGCTGGAGGGAGCCGGCAGCGAGCAGCGGCGCGGCCCGGCGGCCCCCACGTTAGTGGGCGCAGGTGCCCGGGCAGGGAGTCCTTATGGTGGTGTCACGGGCCAGGGCGGTGGCGGGAGCGGCGCTGGGGGTGACCCGGCCTCCGCCCGCAGGGTCCCTCTCTTCCTTCCTCCCTGCTCTCCGTCGGGGTCAGCACAGCCAGGCTACTGGCAGCCCAGCCCTGGTGTGGGACCTGCAGGAGGCGGCTTGGGGTCTCACATGGCCTCTGCTGTCAGTGAGCCTGGCCATGCTGAGCCGCGGATATTTACCCCCAAAATGACGATTTCATTCCACTAGGAGCTCCTCCCTGCAGAAACCAAGAGAGGACTGAGATGTTTAGTAAGATAGCAGTTATTATTCTACCAGTACGTGCTGTGGCTCCAGTCCGTTTCACTGATAAGGGGCTTTCTGCTTCTTTTAATATTGGCGCTACTTGGGTGTTTAGGTTTGTGAGGGATGTTTAGGTTTTGTCAGGAGTCTGAATGCGGCATGGGGCTTTGAGGCATGAGGAAGTGTGATTCCACAATTTAAGTCCATAAAAAAATGCACCCACATTGTTGAACCCTGCTGCAGAATATTCTTCTTGTTCCTATTCTGCTGTCTCTGACCATTACTCCCCAGTTTTGGTCACATCATTTATATATTTGCATAGTGTTGAATATTTATATTATATGCTTAGGTAGAGTTGTACTTAGTTATCCTGTTACTGACCATGTACACAAGTCTAGTTCCTCTTAGAAAACTTTAATTGAACATGTATCGTTTTTCCTTGGGATAAATTCCAGAATTTGGAAATACTAAGTCAAAGTTCTCTGCTCTTTCCCTGCCACTTGATATGAATTGGTGCCTAAACAAGACACGTTTACATCTTTTAAAATCTAGGTATTTGCCCAAATTTCTTGGCAAATTTGGTGTTCAGCAAGAGGTTGAGTCATTTTCTGTACAGGCTGAGAGACAGGCCACACAACCTACTGTTGGACTTTCTTTTTAAGTCATGTACCATGCTCATCTTTTTGTTTTGATTGACTCTATTCTGTTTTGTTTTGTTTCGTTTCGTTTTATTCGCTTTAAAATAAAAAATGAAATAAAAAATATTTTCTTGCTGGCATGGTGGTGCATGCCTATAATACCAGCACTTTGGAGGGTTAGACAGGAGAATCACAGTGAATGCCAGGCTAGCATGAAATACTTGCTGAGTTCAAGATCAGGCTGCAGTACGTAGCGGGACCTTGTCTCAGAATGAAATAAACAACCTCTTTTTCCTCTTTTCTTATTTTAATGTACCATAAGTAGATACTAATAAAGAAAATATGAAAACACTTTTATAAATAAAGTTTTCATACTATGCAGTTTGTATACTATGAAACTATATAATATGCTTTATACACTATAGCATACTTTATATAAATTTATATACTGTAAAACTGCATGGTATGAAACTATGAAGTTTTTGAGCCGAGTGTGGTGGCTCACACCTGTAATCCCAACACTCAGGAGGCTGAGGTGGGAGAATCCTTGCAAGTTTGAAACCAGCCTGGGCTAAAAAGTGAGCTCAAGTCCAGCCTAAACTGCATAGCAAGACCACGTCTCAAAAAGACCAAAAAAAAAAAAAAAAAAAAAAAAAAAGGAAACTATGCAGACACCATTCTTACACACAGATTCTTACAGGTCTATGTGTAGATGCACATTGATGTCAGAGACATTTCCCCTTCAAAACTGAGATACTTGTTCTCACATCCATGTATTATTTCATGATCAGATTCCTTGGCTTCTTTCCCTGTGGATCCAGGGAGACCAATCTCAGCATCCCTGCAGCTTTCCCTGCTTCCTATGACCCACACTGGTACCACACACCCTTTACGTGGAAGAGAGGGATGGTCCCAATTCCTTCCTGCTTCAAATAGCTGTGAATCAAACTCTTTCAAGGAAATCTTGCAAAGTTGTGCAGCTCTCTGTAAGGAATAAATGTCTGTTGTTAACCCTGCCAGGTCCAGTGACAAATGTGTGTAGTGCTCTGATGTGAGCTGCCAGACAGGTCTCTGCTCTACCCCCATAATCTCCCCAGTGCTATTCAGCACCTGCCTTAAAACCTGCCATCAGATGGAGACTCAACACATCTCAGGGATGTGTGCCTGCATGAATCAGTTTTGGAGGCTCAGCGTTTTCTGCATTTGTTGGCCAAGTGTGATGATTCTGGGTTTTTTTTATTAAAAGACAAAAACAAAACAAAACGAAACAATAAGAGGGTACAAGTAATACAGAATTTCAAGAAAAAAATACAGTAAGAAATCACTAATTTATTGCCATCTCAACAGTTGTCCAGATTACAAAATTAAAGCATACAAAGTGGACAGTGAAGTTGTAGACAGTTCTGTTCAATGATCCAACAAAAACTCAATAATATGGTTTTCTATTCTATACACTTAAATATACATACAGTTATATCCTTTAGATCACTTTCTTTTCTTTTCCTTTCTTTTTTATAATAACAATTACACATTGGAGTTTTATTATTCCCACAGTTCTTATAACTTTTTCTTTGAAGAGGAAAAAAAAAACAAAAATAAAAACATAACAAATGAAACAAAGCAAAAGAACAAAAACAAAAACAAAAAAACCCCAACATGACAAAGCAAAACAGAGTCAGTTAGAACAGGAGGATGGACATAATACATAATGCAAAAAGAGAATACCAGGTGATCAACAATGGTTACCATTATGCCTCTTGCTATCTTAAAAAGAGTTTCCTTTATCATCTGGTATAATAGATTTGAACAAAACAGTACAGAACAGGGCGAATAAAACCCACATTGGAGACCTTACGGGACTTCCAAAGAAGATAATAGTCAAACCATAATGAGCATCATAGAATATCTTTTTGCCTTCAAAGTGGTTGCCTATACCCTCAAACTTGATGCTATTAAACAAAACAGAATGTAGTAAAATCAGTCAGGACAAGATGTGGAGAACCATACAGGGGTTCAAAACAGCTAATAAGAAAACAAAAAAGTTACTATAATGTATCGTGCTATTTTAAATTTAGTTTTCCCTTAAAAATAATAAGAAATTAATTTTTTAAAAAAGAAAAAAAGGGCAATTGAGATAAAAGAGGACATATCAATAGAACAACACAGGTCAGAAATGAACAATTTAAGCATTATTGTGTTTCACGACCAGATAGCCTGACATAATAGCTGTTAACATAGTTTCCCTTTCCTTGAAATATTTGAGTTTAACTTTGTATACTATAGCATCAAACTTATCAAGACAGTGTGAAATCATTCAAGAGAATGGAAGTATTGCAGGATATTTAGAACCAGCTAATAGAAACCGAACAATGGTTTCTATACTATCTCTTTGCCTATAAAAAATTTGTTTATACTATCACACATATTAAAATATAATATGATACAACATGTTAAAACCAATTGAAACAGATGAACAACAACTTGATAGGACTTCAAAACAGGATGATATTAAATAAGCACTAGCTATTATGCTGCCTAATTTTCTTCAAAATAGCTATTCGTACTATCACAGACAATAAAATCGAACAACCCAGATTAAAACCATTCCAATTAATGAATGAAAACATTATATTGCTTCAAACCAATATGATGGGAATCATGATTACCATGTACTTTTATGTATTCTTATCATTTCTTACACTAGGGAAACTATTTGGTATTTATACACGTGAGTTTGATTTATTTCACTTATGAGTATGTTCTGAAGCTGCATCCATTTATTTATATCTCATGGTGATCATCCTTTATAGCTGAGTAGTACTTCATTGTATAAAAATACCACAACTTTTTTATCCATTCCTCAGTTGATGGACACTTAGGTAGTTTCCAAGATCTGGCTATTACAAATTGTGCTGCTATAAACATGGGTGCAAATATGTCACTGTGGTATCATGCTTTCAGTTCTTCTGAGAATATGCCTAGAAGTGGTATATCTGGGTCAAATGGGGCTTTCAAACCCAGCTTTCTGAGAAATATCCACACTGACCTCCACAATGTTTGCACAGTCTACACTCCCACCAACAGTACAGGAGAGTTCCTTTTTCCCCACAGCCTCTCCAACATTTGTTGTTGGTGGTTTTCTTGATCTTGACGATTCTTTCAGGAGTGAGATGAAATCTCAGTGTGGTTTTAATTTGCATTGCTCTAATGACCTATGATGGTGAAGATTTTTTTCATGTATTTATTTGTTGTTTGTATTTGTTCATCTGAGAATTGTGTATTCATTTCAGATGCCCATTTTTGGATTGGGGCTTTGAATATTGGGGGTCAGATTTTTTTTAATTCTTTATATGTTTTAGAAAGAAGTCCTTTGTCTGAGGGACAGTTCACTCAGATTTTTTCCCAGTTCATAGGTTTTCTTTTCCCTATGTTAGAGATTATTTTTTGATGTGCAGAAACCTTTTTATAAGTGGTAATCCCACTCATTGACTCTGGGAAGTATTTCCCATGTAGTTTGAGTCTTGTTCATGAATTCTCTATCTACCCCTATGTCTTCAAGGTTTTTACCCAGTTTGTCTTCCAATAGATTTAGTGTTTCTGTTTTAATATTTACATCTTTGATCCATTCAGATTTTATTTTAGTATATGGTGATAGGCATGGGTCTAGTTTTAGTTTTTGGCATGTGGAGAACCAGTTTTTCACCACCATTTATTAAAGAGACTGTCGTACCTCCAGTGAACATGTTTGGCCCCTTTATCAAAGATGACGTGGTTGAGTGTGTTTGTAGTTGTGTTTGTATCTTGTCATCTATTCCACTGATCTTTAGCTCTGTTTCGATTCCAGTAGCATTTTACTACAGTTGCTTTGGCAATTTTACTACAGTTAATTTTACTACAGTTGCTTTGTAGTTTAACTTCAAGTCAGGGATTGTGATGCTCCCTGCCTTGCCTTTGCTGCTTAGAACTTGCTATTCTAGGTCTCTTCTTGCTC